CACACACACACACACACACACACACACACACACACACACACACACACACACACACACACGACCAATGGCCCCCTTTGTTTGGATGTAATTTATTATTGCAGTCAGCAGGAATGTGATATTCTTGCCAGTATTTAATTACTAAACTTTGCTCCAAACTTCCCATCACAGACAATGTCATTCATGGGTCCTCAGTCTGCCTTATTAAACACACACACACACACACACACACATGTGTTATGTGACCTCCAGTGATCATGCAGGATCAGCAAGTTAAACGTGAGAACAGACACCTGCTCTGAGCCAAAAATAAAAATAAATGAATGAATGAATAAATAACTAAATAGATTAACGACTCATGCACAAAGATGTTCATTTGAGAGGGTTAGGGTGAAAATGACAGGTCAAGAGTGGAGGAAAATGGAAGCACATGAAATAAAATAATAGAAAAAAGAAAAAGAGAAAAAAAGAAAAAGAAAAGAAGAATATGTTCCCAGATTGGACTAACGGGGATTATCATGGTCACATTACCCTCTGAGGACGTCTGAGCCTCCTCTCCTCTTGGCCCTGCTCTGGGTCTGCTTGGTAACCAGCTCGCTGTCCCCGGTGTCCCCGGTGTCCACCACCACCACCTCAGCAGCGTCCCTCAGCTCGGCGCACAGCGACAACAAGGCCACCAGGGCCACGGCCAACTGCTGCAGCCGTGCTCCTCCACACTTACTGTCCGGCATATCCACTCTGAAGTGCAGCCTGGAAAACTCCACTGCTCGGTGCAATAAAAGTCTCTCTCACTCGTTCCCCAGCCGCGTCGACCTCTGCAGTGGAGTCAAAGCTGCAAAACAATACAAATATGAAAACTTATTTAGGGAAAAGACGCAGGAGATGCTGCGCGTAAAAAGAAAAAAGCAACTTTGCTGCACAGTTGAGAAGAAGCTGGCGTGTTATGACTTCAATAATTGTTGTTTAAGGGAATCACTGAGCTCAGAGTTGCAGAAGCAGACAGGGTAAAAAATTGCAGTAACTTGCAAAATTGCGCACGACTGCGTGGTTATACTTTACCTCGTCTCCCGTGCAGGAGATTCGCCTCAGACCCGACAGAGGAGCGCTTCACTTTCACTGGCAGGTAATGCTGGATAAACGTTTAGCAGAAAAGTGCGAGGAGGAAGAAACAGTCACTGAAAAACCTTCAACTCAGACCTGAGCTGCTATAAATAAATGCGCATGGTAGCTTTGTGGAGAATGCTCGCCAGTGCGCATCCAGCGGTGCGTTGGTTTTTGCGCAGATAAAGTCAGAGGAGCTGACGCATTCCAGAGGATGAGGACGGCAACACTCTCTCACTGCGTCTCTCCCTCACACAAGAGCTTTTTCCTCATCCCTGCTCTAATGCTCAACTTTCCCCAAAACTTTTTTTCTTCTCCCCCTCTTTCTCCCTCTGTTCTCGCGATACAAAAGCTTGAGCGCAAAAAAAAAAAATTACAAGTCAAACTCTGGACAGTCAGCTTGGACTTTTAACTCTTAAAACAATACATAAAGTAAATCCAGAAAAGCTCAGAGGAAGGAGACAGGAGTTAACAAAGCACAAAAACCTCTGTGACATTTGGATACTTTGGATATTTTTGTACATTTTTGAATAAAAATGCACCTGTTCTCTCTTTACTATGAAATGTGGCACTTCACTGAAGTCCTCAAATCTCCATTTAACCATTTCATCCCTCTTCACTTTGTATTGAATTATGTCTTATAAATATTTACACAGTGTGAGCTGTATGATTTCAGGAATTTCGTCCAGCGCAGTGATAGTTTTCACACACACACTGATTCATGTCTGCAGCCCCACCCAGCAAACACAGAGTCAGCCTGGCTCCTCACTCCAGTATGCTATCGCTCCAAAACCAAAAAGAAACCCCCCGACACTGTATACTCCACTACACTGGTTTCCATGATTTCTCCCTTCTTTTTCCCTCTTTGTCATTATGCTCATTCTGCTCTCGCACATGTCCAAACACAGCCTCCGCCTGCATTTATTCATACATTATGTGTTGGCTTCGCACATTAGATTTCACAGGCTAGTTTTGATCAAGACAGTTTCATGAAATCTGATCACAGCAGCAATTTGCCAGCACAAGATTGAGACAAAACATTGAATTTTTCATTTTTGTTGACCACAGCGTTGCACCCAATGCAACTCTCAGCCTATTTCCTGCACAAAAAAAATGGTGGCGACATGCCTGAGCTGTTCCAACAGGCTTCTCCCTTTATGCAGTATTTCATCTCGTGTCCAGGATAGTATATATATCATTAGCCCGACTTCCATAACTTTTTTTTCCATCTTCAGACACTCAGGTTGAGGCACACATCTCCACGGGCCTTGCTGACATCGCCAGTTGGATGTCTGCCCACCACCTCAAACCTAGTCTCAACAATACTGCAGTGCTTCTTTTCCCCTGGAAAGTCCTGCCCTCTGCAAGGCCTCTCCATCACTGCTGACAAGACCACGTTTACTCCAGGACACACTGCCAAGAGTCTGCGTCTGCCTCAAGACAACCAACTGTCAGACAGCACCCAGAGTGGAATCACAGTGCAGTCCTACAGGTTCGCTCCTAATAACCGTCATTCAGTTTAACTTTTTTGAATCAGTGTCTGTTACAAAACTTTTTTTAACATGAATTTATTTCTATTGTGTTTGGGCTCCTGCAGCCCAACCACTCCAGAAAGATATTGGAGGCTTCCTCATTTTAAGTTTCATAAGTTTCTCCATTTTACTCGGCTTATAAATCCCACTTCTTGCCTGTCCATGAACTTTTGTCTGACATCTTAAATGCTTATGATTCCGTCCAACAGTTTCAAGACATCTTCACCGCCACTTCACCGAGTCCCAGCTCATCTTTCTGTTTGCTGCATCGTGAGGGGAATTTAAATTTTTTCCTTTTGTATGTTTCTGAACTCAATTTTGAACATAAGGTTTTATTTCCTGATGACACTTTGCTGCTGAGATTAGTTAAAGTTAAATAAGATCATGTAATTTATAGAACACTCCCTCCTGACCTGTGCCATTAGTTGAAACATTGTGTTATTAATGTAAGAAATATGTTATTGCTGTTTGTTTTTACTGTCTTTACCAAGTTTCATTCCATACTGTTGCTCAGACATCAACATGTACAAAGTTCACACAGTTTTTCTGAGTCTTTATTAACTCAAGCCCATTGGTATAATTAATAATCACAGTTACAGCCTGATAACATTTGCTTCTTTCATTAATATATCTCGATCCATTGGCAATACTGCTCAGTGTCATGGAAAGGCTGAAGCCAATCCCAGCTGATATTGGGTGGGAGTAGGGGTACACTGTCATGTTGCTGATGCATAAAGACAAACAACCATTAACAACCATTGCTGAAGCATTTGGTCACCATATAACTTAATCTGCATGTTTTTGTACTGTGGGAGGAAACCTAAACAAACCCAAACCCACACAGAAAGACCCTGCCCAAAATCCATTCCCCTTCTTTTGCTCTCTTACATTATTATTATCTTGTCACTGAAATATTATTTGGACTTACACGCAGTTGCTCCATAATGATGGAGGTAAGATGTTTTGTGAAATGAGCACTGAAACCGATCTTACTGTTGGATAAGAACACCCATTACTGTAAAATGGTGCGTGAGATGTTGGCAGAAGAGACAAAGGTCCAGAAGAGGGTAAAAGGTTTAATGTTGATGAATCAGAGAGTGAGGGGGAGAGGCAGAGGTGGGCACTGTAGATTGGAGTGTGTTGTTTTGACAGTGATAGTTTCTCCATGGTCAACTCTCTCTCTTTAAGATTAGCGAGGCCAGGGTGTGAGGACCTGAGAAGATTTGTGTTGACTGGGTATCAACTTGATTTTTTTGCTGCAGATGCACATGCCACAGTTTAGGAAAACATCTGGCTTGGGTCAGGTGTGGGTCAGGCTCAGGCTACAAACGGTGCCATCTTGCACATTTGAAGCCAGACTCTACACAGTCGTAATCGGGGGATGGAGCCGTTATCGCCAGGTCCCACTGATACATGCGTTTCACTTTGATTTTATAGTATCAAATAACAAATTAATGTACATTTGAACACATCATCATCGTGTGATTAGAATTACTTTAAATGACAGAAAAGATCTCTGAGAAAAGTTTAACTGATGTGTACTGTGACCTTCTAGTCCATGTCCCGTCCATCAACATTAAAGAGGCAGGATTTATAACCTACGCTGACGCAAGCTGCTTCACTTTCGGGGTTGCTGTCATGTCGTCCATCCTACAGTCTTTAATCTGGAGATACAGGCGATGGAGAGTAAGACAAAAATTCAGCTGGATAAATCAACAGTTATTGTAATCCAAATTAAATCTTATAAACAAGGCATTAGCTCATCTGCGGGTTTCTTTAAAGGAATAGTTCCACATTTTGAGAAATGCGAACATTGGACAAGAAGATTGATATCATGCTCACACCTGTTCATTAAATGTGAAGCCACAGCTAGAAACCATCTGCTGGCTGTAAGTTCATATTTACAGAACAGACATCAAAGTGCTCTCAGCATTCTCATCTAACTCTAGACAATAAAGCGAATGTAAGTGTATGCCCAAAAAGGATGAACTACTCCTATAATTATAGTATTTTTATTTTATGCAACATATTCCTCCACTACATCTGACAGCTGCAGAAACCACCACTTAAGTAAAGCATACCGGTACATGTGTCATCACAAACACACACTCCCACACCACTATTAGAGCGACATCAGAGCTGAGCGTACTGCGGAATAGTTTCTCGAGAAACTTCATGTCATGGTTCCCATCAATGAGACATGGAGTGGGAGAAGGCTGATGCCAAGCAGAGCGGTGTTGCCCTCTGCTCTTCCTCGATACAGAGGTGGTGTCATTTACAGTAAGACGCCACCCCCTAACACACCCCAGCACACCCACCCATCTCTGTATCGCACCCCATCCTCTTCTCAGTTAATCTCCCCACTGTTAGTAACTGAGCGTGGGTTTCATTTTAGGGAATGTTTACTCCTCGAGCCTGAAATGGCTGAGCTAAAATGCCTGAAATAGCACAACTAAACCAGAGGTTGGATGAACATTTTTCACAGTATAGTCTGATTGTTTCTGTGGAGTTCAATACAAAAGAAAAATGCCACAGTCAATAAAGTTGTTGTCTAATAACAACATAACTCGTGTCCTTTGATTTACTTGCTTTAATCTTCACTGTGACGACTTTTTTTTGCATCACAAATGTGTTTCGCCAGCTCATTTTCATGTGTTTCATATATGTATCCCAGGGCAGCTGATTGAGATTGTCTCTCACTGCGCTGCGAGCAGTAACTGTAGCGAGACTTTCTCACACTGTGTGTTGTCTTTGGCTCCAGCAGCCACGGTTCATTTCCTTTTGTCTTCTGCAGCACAACTGCTGCCAATATTCATGTGAAATATTTCAAGAAAATGAGCTGCAGCAGAAATGAGTCTCCCCCCTTCTCTCGCTCACTCTTAATGTGTGTGTGTGTGTGTGTGTGTGTGTGTGTGTGTGTGTGTGTGTGTGTGTGTGTGTGTGTGTGTGTGTGTGTGTGTGTGTGTGTGTGTGTGTGTGTAATAAGTTTACATGAGTCTGGGGTTTGGCCTCCACTGGTTTTTTTGTCATGAGGATAATGTAATGATGGAATTATATCAACTGTTTGGGCTTGGCCGTCTATTATCACATATGGTCTCCTTCACTGAAACACACTACACATATACAGTGCACTGCTGCAGCACGAGATCAAACACAACCACAAAATAACTAGGAGGAATCCCTTTCTTCCTCCAAATGGATCGTTTTCCTCGTGCGTACCTAGGCGCTGCATGAACTCATTTCCCTCAAACTGTTTATGCAGTGGAACAGAATAGAAACGTACGGGTCATATTAAGTTGTAATAGCTCCTTTTCATGGTGAGGATGCCTCCTTATAAGCCACGAGGAGGAGGAGCACGGGGTTGACAGGATGAGTCATCTCTTCAGTGTCTTGAGTTTAATAGCAGGTATATTCACTTTGCCTCGGGCGTCACTCAAGATACAGAGTGAGGGGACGTTGCATCAGAAGCCCCCTCCCCCGTGAATGAAGGAAAGTAGTGAGAAAGCCCATCACATTCCAGATCTTAAATATGATCCTTCTTGAGAGCAAGTTTAATGGAAGTAATAACCATGATTGATTCTGCTGGTAGAGACACCCAGTGTATTCACCAGAGGTTTGGGTGTGTGGTGTGAATATCACTCTCATGTGCTTCTATAATTTGTATCACTTTCTTTCTTTTCTGTTTTATGCATTTTTTAATTTGATTTCTTTTCCTTTTAAATGTAATT